GCAGAAACTGCATTCCAAAAAGATCGCTCTGATCTCCGTAGATGTCCAGTTATGAAATACCTAGATGCTCAGATATTCTGACAAATATCAGGGAGGAACTCACTCTCAGCATCCACCCACCCGCCTTCCCCTCAGGCTAAAAACTAAAAGTTTAATACTCAATAGTCAATACTGAATACTGAATACTAAAAACTAAAAGGTTAATACTCAATACTGGATACTAAAAACTGGTGCGCTGCGGGTTAGTGCACAGTCAATCCGCCGTGTGTTCCATATGATCATGATGTGCGTAGGCATTACCAGATCTAAACATTACTTTCGAATGCACTATGATTTATTGGTTTCATAATGTTTTTTTACAGTTTTATAGAGATTTTCCTAAAACTATCGAAATCAGAAAAAAAGATTGTGTTTTTAAAACTTTACTAGTTGATGTTCTTGGAGCTTTTTTAATGGATTTTCGACAATGGAAAATGTAACCAGCGCGCACCTGCAGATATGCGCCATATGCATTCGTATTAAGTGAAGTTTCCCCATATTTCTTTTCTTACCAGTTTGCATAACTTTTGTGACCGAATGAAATATATCAGTCTTCTTTCTGTGCAAACATTTTTTCTTTTACATACATGGGAAATGAGATAGTATGAGTATGGTCTTTTCTCTTAATAAATGCCTGGAAAAGATAGAAGCTGAAAAACTTGTAACGCTCGATCTGCGATCTTTTCAACCAAGTTTTTCTAGATTGTAGTTAAACATTTATGCTGTAGATATTTGCGAAGTGATTCGTCTTCATAGCACACCTTTATATTTGGATTATCGACAACAACAACATAAATGTCTAAACAGAACATTCGTTACAAAAAAAGTAGACGGGCAATTATGCAATGACTTTGCTCATTGAATGTGGCCAGGACGGAAGTTGACGATTATGAAGATGGTGATAACATGAAATGTTATTCTATTGTTCAAATGGAGTGTTTGATTTCTCTCGCGCAAAAAATATTGTGTACTGAGTGTAACGAACGCTGGAATGGCTCAGCATCTATTAAAAAAGGGGAGGGATTATACGTACACATTATATTCATGTGTTCCAATTGCAGCAATGTCACTGATTTACATGCATCCTCCCGCGGTCGGGAAATCAACGTCAAACTGGCGGTTGGTGGTACAGGAATACGTCACGTTGGGATTACAAAACTGTTAGGTACTATGAATCTCCTATCACCTGTACAAGGAGAACGCTATGATGAACAGAATGTATGATTGTGTTTCGAAGGTTCAACAAGAATGCATGACTGCTACTGCACAAGAAGCATCTGAATAGAGACGTATCAAATAAGAGATATCTTCTTTCTGTCCTTCACATGCCGCGTCACATTTTTCGTTCATTTCTGACACACAAAAAGAAAATGAAGAAATTTGCAACTGAAAAAACAATAGGTAAGCTCAGTCAATAGCAAATTTTTATTTTGGAAAAATATCATCCTATCTGAAGTCATCGCGTTATATGCGAATGTTCTCTGTTGTTCAGACCCCATGCAGTGGAAAATCGATGCGGTACAATATATCAAATATTTTACAGCATTTAGAAAAAAAACAGTTCACTTGCAGCTGAACTGATTAGATTGGTGTAAGAAAACGGATTTTTATGCCAATTATATAACGCCTGTTCTATAGACCAATATTGTTATAGTAGACCACTAGCTACAAGATCAGTCACCAAGGACATTCTTCTCCAAGAACACCAAGACTGGTCACGTGTAGGCACAAGGTTATCTTAAGAGTAGATTTTAGTGAAAAGACACCGAAGCAAGTCAGAAACTGGCGAACCACCAAGACTTCACTGAAATGATCTTTCTAATACTATCTAGATGTGTTCTAATGAGATAGATGTCAATAAGAATATTGTTACTTCGGTTACTTACTAACCAATCTTCTTGCAACGCTCTGAGACCATGTGTAGTCGTAATCACCTGGATAATCTTGCAGTGTTGACTGTTTTATTTTTTTGTAACACAAGACAAGAAATGCCTCTTTCTAATTAAATACCCACAGCTAACCACCCTGACTCTCACCTCGCAGACGCACAGTTTTACTTTTCATTTTTGCATTTCGAGAGGTATACTTCTTTGATCACTTTCTTTAATCCCAAGAAACCCAGAGACGAAGAAACCCAAAAACGTTTCAGGAAGGACTTTGAATACAGCCACCATTTCACGGTAAAGTGGATAAGTACCGTGGAACACTCACGGGAAACTAAGCGCTGAAAAACATTTTAGTGACCTATTATTGCTACAGCTACTTTGTAGTAGTATGACTTCAACAAAATGTCTAACAAGTTAGCTTATAGTTCTATGTCTCATAATGGATACTTTCTATTAGCCTAATTTCTAGGACAATTTCTAGCTAAAATTCAAAGTATTTGTCTAGCTAAACCTTAAATTTTAATTTTGGTTTGAGAATGCTAGTCAGACCCTAAATTTAACTGAACAATCGTCAGCCAAAATTAAACCCAAGAGTTAATTTTAATTTTGTCTACAACATACATATTCGAAGAAAAATCAAATATATCCCTTAATTTCAGAAGTAAATCATATTGATTCTTTTTTCGTTTTTTCAAGCAGAAAAAAAGTGGCTAAATGACATGCGCAGACAAATCATGCAACTGTCAATCAGCATGTCACATGGAAGAATGCTATAAAAAGAAAAGAACAAACAAATTTTCAGAGTAGACTATAAATTATAGAAAATGTTAAAAGAGCATAATGGAGTTGTTAAAAAAAACAGTCATCATATGCGTTTTCTCTGCGCTGATTTTATATTTTGTTATCAGATCACTTGAATCAGAGACAGCTGCCCATGTAACAGGACCATTACTGAATTCGTCACCGCCTGTGATTGAAACAGAGTTTGATCGTTTGAACTTGACTGGTGGTTATGCTCAAAATTTGAAGTATGGCATCACGCGAGACGAAGCATGGTTAAAAGAGCACAAACGAAATTTTATTCCCAAAACATCTTCATTCAAACATATTCCTTATCTGTCTACATTAGAAGCTATTGAACTTGGCTATTTTCTCTCACCAAGTGTCATCAAGCAATTGGAGTTTCTCCGTCACTCAATTGAATTAAGTGAAAAAGCAATATTAGAAGAAGCAAAGGTGAGTACTGTGTTAGAAGACGTTGATCAGCAACAACTTCCTTACACAACAGTGACATGCGTTCCCAGCAGTCAGTACGAAGCTCAAAAGCTGCACAATCATCGTTGTGAATATCGGAATATTTACTGGGATAGCTCGAAACAGAAATACTACTTCTATAAATCATCCAACTCATCTCCAGACCTATCTGCTTCATACAGTAGTGAACAAGAATTCAAATTTGACTCGAACTCTCGTTCGGCAAAAGCACCACCAAAGGTCGATCGTATATTAGATAAGCCTGTCTTTATTATACCAACAACGACTGATAATTATTTTCATACCGTATTCGATTATTGGTATCCGGTTTTTTTAAATATATTAGAGTATCAAAACTTATCCTATTTCATTGGTAAGAACTTCGCTTGTCGTTTTGTCAATCTTTTTACGTTTGATCTGTTACTTTTAGATCGTTCTAGTGCTCAGTTATGGTTAGGACAGAGTCTGCTAAACGCTTATCCCTACAACTGGAATCAATTAAATGCCTATCAAAGCCAATCCATAACGTGAGAGCTTGTCTTATATGAATGGCATCTTCGTGCCTGATCCATCATTCTCATTGACTTTATTCTATTTCAGAATACCCTTTAGCAGTATTTAAAATAGCAGAAGGACCTTTTCTTTCTAATCAATGAGATAAGTTGAATTTTTCTAAAATAAGCTCTTTGGTTTAGAGAGTACGGCCGTCTAGTGTCTACTAGTCCAAATCGTACAGTGATGTCATATACTCATAAGCGGATTGCTTACGATCAGTTGCAATCAACATTTTCTGTCTTGCCATTGCTGACTCCACGTACATGGTTCAACAATGAATGGCTACTTATCAAACATTTGATACATCCTGGTACAGGTGGTCATCGAGCGTTTGTCAATGAACTTTATTATTGGCATCCGATGAGAAGTGACCACCCACGATGGCCCTATCTGGATCGTCAACAACAGAAATACTTCTTCACATATTCCGATCATATTTTGAAAAAGTTAAATCTCTCAAGTAAATTAGATGTGCCGTCAACAACAACGACCGGCGTTGAGTATATCGTTGTAATTAATCGAGCTCGATCTAGCAGAAGAATTACGAACGCTGAAGAACTTCTTAAAAAATTAAAAGTCAGATTTAAAAATGGACTAAACACAACAAACACCGGACAAGCCATTGAGCTACCGTCAAAGTTGCGTGTTTATCCAACAGTATATGATTTTTCACGCGATATGCACGCCTCAGCGAAATTGATGAGGCAAACACGTTTATTGATCGGTGTACACGGAGCTGGTCTCGGAAATATGATGTTTATGAGACCGGGTGCAATTATGCTTGAAGTGTCAGGCATACGATGTGATTATTTGAGCGTACATTTTGGAACATTGGCTCGCATGAATCAACTCATCTTTCGCGAATGGGTACAGACAAATGGTTTCGGAACAGGATCTTGTAGGAAAGAAGGAGCTGTTCAATTGAATATTGATGAGGTTGTAGATCTATGTGATGACTTATTGCAAACCGAGTTAGCTCAACGAGAAGCAGCTTACCAGCAAACGATCCGTCTGATACAACCGAAACACTGAATCGTAATTAGCTCTCTTCTAACCGACGTTAGCTCAAACTAATGTATACGATACATTTAGCTCACTTCTTGGCTGAAAGATCATAATTTCTGAGAGAGTTTTAATTTATACTTTTACACTAAACTGAAACTAGAGTGAGCGAAGCAATATATTTCCTCTATATCTTTACTGGTGGTTGTAAATAATGTCTCTAGGAGTCTAGTCCCGTGGCAAGACTTTTCCGCAGACAAGCCTAACTTCTATAAAACGATTTAATTCTGAGTAGCTAAACTTTTCCTTTATCTGACCTACGTTAATACCGAAAAAAGAAATAACGAACACTGGCATAATATAGAGTCATTAGTCTATACATTTGTTGTATTAATTTATGAGATATTTATCAATCGATTGTGTTCTGGCATAGTATACTTAATCATATTATTGACTAGTGCAACAACTACATTTTCTGTTTTTATTTTAGCGAAATGGAGTTATTTCTTTTTGCAACGCTTTGTTTCTTACCATGTGAATTAAAACAAGAAAACAGGGTATTTCATATCCGTTATCGCGAGGGAATAAAGTATCTCGAGTATCTCTATTTTTAATGGATGGCCAAAACTATTTTTAACATTTATTACCCGCGGAGACACACTTGGACTTTATACACTCTCTCCAGTGGAAAAGAAAACGCCACTTCTTCTTGTTGGTTTCGAGACACGACGGATTGCGTTCTGCTTGAGCATACCGAAAAATTTTGCATTTTGCTTGAGCAGAAAATAAAATACGAGAGCGAACGCACTGACAAAGAAAAACAGCAAACGACTGATATATCAGAAAATAGTGCCTCGGCATGTATATATATTAGTATATAAATAGAATCATATCATGCCATTTTCAGTGAGTTCCTTTTCGAGTTCAGATCATATTGATCAGAGTAGAAAGGTAATATCTTCGAGTTCTAAACATCTGAACCGGAAAGTATTACGACCACCTGATAAGACCGTTATTTACAAATTTGATGGAGAAAATGCAATTTTAAATACCAACACGCCTATTACGCTAGTAATTTTGTAACTTGGTTTTCTCCACTTTGGAAGCAGCTAGAACAAAAAAATTTTCACTGTTAAATAGGGCATTGTTTACACTATATATACCGCTATTCAAAACAGAAAATTTCGTACCTA